CTGCTCCTTGTTACATTAATATAAACTGTTTCTTTCGGCTGCTCCTTCGGGGTCACCACAGAGAACTAACTCTCAGGAAGACGTGGAGACCGTAGAGCTGCATGTACGGCGCCCGCGGAGCAGATGGTGGGGGTGAAGAGTCTTGCTCAAGGGCACAGAGTGGAGCAAATGAGGGTGGAGGCAGGTGTGGGAGCTTCACCTTTCACACCCTCATTTTGATGTTGTCGGTCCGGGAGTTGAACCGGCGACCTTCCGGTCACAGGACCATCTTCTCTAACCTCTGCAGCACTTTACATGAAGATAAACATTAATATAACTTATTGATAAATAAATACCATAATAAACAAGTGGAAACGTTTTAATTTTTATTTTGTTACTCTTTTCTTTATTTTTCACATTTTATTTCTCATCGTCTTCGAGGGGTGGGGGTTCTGTAGCACCTTCAGCACCCCCAGTTCCCACGACCCTGAACTGATATTTATTTTATAATAAGCATTTTAAAATCAGGTTCGAATAAATCCAGAGTTCAACATTTACACAGAGCTGCTTAAAGAACTTTCCACTTTATTGTTCTTGGGGTTTACGTGAAAACAGATAATTGTTTTAATATTTAAATATTTTAGGGTTTGTCAGTAAGTTCAGCTGTTCCCACAAACACGAGACAGAAGCATGACGACAACACGAAGGCCACGTTCTGACACGCAGGGGCTACCTGAGGGGGGAGCCTTTGGGCGTGGCCACGCCGTAACCTTTGGAGTCCAGGTTCCCCCCGACCTTCATGGTGTCGCAGGGCTTCCTCTGCTCGATGTACTCGTTCATGGAGGACTCCAGCAGGTAGGCGTACTTCCCCTTGGACTTCCTGACGCGCAGCACGCCCTCGTTGGTGTTCTTCACGAACACGGACGGCTCGGCGCTGCGCATGTACGACCACATCTTCTCGAACACGGCGATCTTCGAGCGCTGAGCGAGACGCGAGCAAACAAAGTCGGTTCAGCACAACGGGACGGACGTGGGAGCTCAATCATTTCCAGAGAAAAACATGGCTGACAAATCTAAAAACATGGCTGACAAATCTAAAAACATGGCTGACGAATCT